TGAATACTTTCCGAATGCACTGTATACTTTCAAAACTAAATTATTAAAATACAGTATGTTACAGTCTTACCTCCTCCACAAGATGGACACCATAATGTCTTTTGAGTGGCTGTACTGCTATACCTCTGGCATTTGTCAGCTGTGTAAGATCTATTGGTTGCATGGGATCAATTCTACCTAAGTCAATAAGATACTGCAGCTTTCTGAGACTGAGAGGTGGATACTGACGTCTGAGACTGTCAAAATGAAAAGGGAAAAAAAAACATTCAGAAAGCAAATCCAATTCTAAGTAATTTAAGAATATTGATGGCATAATATATCAGCAAGCTGTTCTTGGGCAACCCTCACTTGAAAGGTGTAGAAATATCCATTTGTAATCCTACAGATCCGCACAAGCCAATATATCTTTATGTGGAAAACATGTTTGACTAAAACAAAGATCAGCTTAATACTGTGCCTTTTAACAATTCAGAAATAAAAAGTTGTAAATTCCTGTTACAAATTCTTCTTCTAAACAATTCTCTTTAACAGCTTAGCTATAAATAAACTGCAAATACAAGAATAAAGGAGACCAAGTATAATATCAACATTTTATATATACATGTAAATGAGAATTACACAATTAAAACATGTTTTTCAGATGGCCTAAAATTATCATGTTCTGGTAAAAGTAATTACTTCTATTAATTTGAAGTATAATATTGGATACTTAATATTTTTGGATGTCTGTATTCTTTTGAACTATATACTTGTTACACGGAAACTGACAGCTAGACAAAGTAACAGATTGTATGTAACCTTCTTACAATGTTGAAACAAAATGTATGGCCCCAATTATTCACTGGATTGAAGACCTGATAAGACTTGTAACTTATGAATAGTTGCTTACAGACATTTTGTATGGACAATTATAATGAAATATGATCATCTTCAACTGAAATTGTTGTGTAAAACTTCCAACACTCTCCCTTGTATTAGCTATGAATTTATGAGAATTATAGCCTTTATGGGACAATTCTACTACTTGCAGTTATAGAGACACTATTTAAAATGTTAAGCCAATCACTACAATTTACATGAATTGTACATCAAGATATGCAGGGGGTTCATTTATGTTTTTCATTATAGGAATCAGCTCTCAGTTATTTCAAAAGTTAGTTGCCATGAGACTAAAGAAAGATTCCAATTCTAGTTGGAAAGAATAAAATAATCTAATTTCACATTATCTTGCAAGTGTAAAAATGAACTTTCTGGACTGTAGTCATTGTTTGCAGAAGCAAAATGTTTACATAAACACCTATGCACAGAGTTTATCATGTTCTTTCTTTTTAAAGGCTACATAACTGGTTTTATCTTTTTAAACCACTGTCAGTGTCTTTTCATTCTTATAGATCACTATTATGTTATGTTAGTTGGCTGTACTTCATATGTAAACAATACAGAATTAGGCTGTAGATTAATGCTGATTCCAACTGTTAGATGAAATACACTGCATTATCCACTATACTGAAGAAACTGGAGGGTCAAATTATTGCCCACTTCTATAAGCAGCACAAAGCTGATTTGGCACAACTGAATCAATCTGACCAGCATTTTTTATTCAACACTGCTTATTTACGGAAACTGTTTTATTTGCTGACTATTAGCCAATTTAAAACTATAATGCATGTTTGCATTTAATGTGAATAAAAACAGAAGTGAAACAAGATTCTCACTAAGATAAAATAAAGGTATTGAATTATTTTATGTTCTGAGATGTCCATGAACGCAAATTTTGCAACACTGAGGGTGGTGCAGGCAGCTGCAGTGATTTGTAGTGCAGCAGAGTACTGTGGGCTGCTGCTGCTGCTATTATCATTATCACTATTATTACGATGATGATGGTGGTGGTTGGTCCCACAATCAGCCAGATGTTTAAACTGGATCTGGCATTTTTATTCACCTATCGAGTCTTTCTCAAGGCCCTGGGATAGGCAGATATTGTTGTTTGATGGTGTTAAAGGTATCATCGCAGAAGGTAAGCTGTTCCAAGTAAAGCTGCCTTTTGCAATTGACTGATGGTGATTTTGTCAATGCCAATGGTCTTCAAGTGGTGCTCCAGATGATTTGGGATTGCACCCAAGGCACCCAAGGTACCTATTGGTACTATCTTTGCTTTCTTTTGCCACAGTTGTTCTATTTGTATTTGCAGGTCTTTGTATTTTGTGATTTTCTCGTTCTTTCTCTTCTATTCTGCTGACTCCAGGTATTGCAATGTCCACTATCCAGACATTTTTGTCTTTCTTATCAACAATTGTTAAGTCTGGGGCGTTTATATGGCAGGTGCTTGTCTATTTGAATTCTAAAGTCCCAGAGCAATTTCGCTTCTTCATTTTCTATTACTTTGCCTGTTTTGTGGTCCCAATACTTCTTCCTTGCAGGCAAATGATATTTCTTGCAGATTTTCCAATGCACCATTGTCACTACTTTGTTATGCCATAGTTTGTAGTCAGTCTGTGTGATCTTCTTGCAGCAGCTAACCAGATGGTCCACTGTTTCTTCAACTTCTTTGCAGAGATGGCATTTGTTGTCTGTTGCTGTCTTTTCAATTCTAGCTTTATATGCTAGAATTGTTCTTATGGCTTGGTCTTATGCAGCTAGAATTAGTCCCTCTGTCTCTTTCTTCAACTTTTCTGCTCTCAGCCATGGCCGAGTCTTGTCATTATCTGCTTTGCTTGCTAGTTTTTTTGTATACTGGCCATGTAGCACTTTGCTTTGCCATGTCTCTTTTCTATTCTTCATTTGGTCTTTCTTATAGGCCAGTTTTGTTGCTTCAGTATTCACCAAGCCTTCATGGCATGCTAGGTTCAGTGCATCTTCTTCACTGTCCTTCAGATATTCTTCCAATGCCCTTTTTTCTTCTTCAATTGTCTGGTATACTTGCAACATTCCATGCCTGCCTATGTTCCTTGGTAAGTAGAAAGATGAAGGACATGATTCAATGTCTTCCTATCCAGGGCTTCTAGTCTCCTTGAGTCCAATCTACTATTTCAGCTGTGTACCTAATGACTGGAATTGCCCAGGTGTTAACTGACTTGATGGTATTTTCTCTACCAAGTTTGGACTTTAAGATCTTCTTCACTCTCATGATGTATTCACTACTAACCTTGACTTCAATGTGCTTGATGTTGTCAGCTTGAAGGATGCCAAGGTATTTGTAGTAATCTTCTTCATCCAGATTCTTGATGTTATTTCCATAGGGCATCCTGATTCCTTCAGTTTTCACTATTTTTCCCGTTGATGGTAAGGGTGGCACATTTGTCCAGTCCAAACTCCACTGAAATATCTTGGCTGTATATTCGGCCAGTGTTGAGCAGAGATTCTATTTCGGATGGTGTTTTTCCATACAGCTTCAGATCATCCATGTAAAGGAAGTGGGACAGCCTGGAAGATATTTTTGATGTTTGATAACCATGGCCTGCCTTGTTCAGTATTGTTGACAAAGGAATCAATGCAATGACAGATAGCGGTGGTGATAGTGAGTCTCCTTGAAAGATTCCTCTCTTATATTAACCTCTCCCAGTCTATCACCATTGACCAGCAACTGTGTCTTCCATTGTGCCATTGATCTTTGCACAAAGCTTCTGATGTTTCTACTAACTCCTGATATTTCTAGGCATTTGATTATCCAATTATGTGGCAGGGAATCAAATGCCTTCTTGTAATCAATTCAAGCTACGTTCAAATTGGTCTTCTTTCTCCTGCAGTTTTCCAAAACCATCTTGTCAATTAGGAGCTGATCTTTTGTTCCTCTGCTGTTGGACAGTTTCCTTTCTGGTCAGATGGAAATAGCTTGTTTTCAACTAGAAGCTGTTGGATTGCATCAGCTACCACACCAGTTAGCAATCTGAAAGTTGTTGGTAAGCAGGTAATTGGCCTGTAGTTACCTGGTGTTGCCCATTTTGTTGGATCTTTCATTATCAGGTAGGCTTTGCCAGATGTTAACCAATCTTCAATTTCACCTCTTTGCAGTATGTTGTTAAACTGCTTGGCAGTGAGTGGGTGCAGACCAGTCAGATGTTTCAACCAAAAACCATGCAGTTCATCTTCACCTGGTGCTGATCTTCTTGATCTTCCTTGCCATTTTCTCCACCATTTCTGCTGTTATTACAAGTTCTTTCATTTCAACTTATTTTGTATTCTTATCTACCTCCTTTATCCAAGCTGCATTCTCGTTCTATTGGGTTGTTCCATAACTGCACCCATAACTGCACTGTTTCTTCTTTGTTAGGTGTTAACTAGTTCATTGCAGTCTCTTCATTGATGGAATGGTAGAAATGTTTCTGATTTGACTGAAATTGGAGATTCTGCCTGTAGCGTGCAATTCGAGCTTCGTATCTGCTGATCTTCTTGTCTATAGCTGTTCTTTGCTGCTTTATTATTTCCA